TATTTTTGGACATCTACAGAATTTACTATAATTTATCCAAGTTCAGCTCAGAATCTAAATTAGAAAAACACTAACTAATTCTTTTCAGAAAAAGAAAAGGGCAAAAGATCCCAGCGCGGCCCAACACAGGCTCGGCCCGTGCGCGAAAGCGGCCCGCGGCGAAGGAGCCTGCGCGCGCTGGTACTTTTGCAAAAAAGCCCCCACTCCATCTGCTATTCACGCGACTACTATGCGGCATATTCCTACAGTCAGCACTTAAGTAAAATAGCCCTCGCAACAACTCATCCTTACAACGGCCAGGTCCTCGGCCGTCCCTGCACGCGTTGGCCTGGCGAGCGATGACACAAGGTGGTGCACCGGCCACCCGAGACCCGCGCTGACCCCCCCCCAACGAGCCAAAACCACCTACGACCCTAACGCTAACCCAACGTGGCGATACGGAGCCACAGGGTGAACCAGAGCGAGCTGCCACCTCGCACGATCGCCCAGACGGCTGCATACAGCCACCCCGGTGAGCTACAACACTAACAGGCCGATAGAGGTGGTGGCTAAGCACTAATGACGCACCGTGAGTCTACCCGAAGTGATGGTTGGGGTAGAGGGTAGCTGAAGGAAGCCGGCCACGTGCGGCCGAGCTTGGTGGCGGCGCACTGCGGTGACACAGTCGCGTCAGCGACGAAGGCGAGCCGGTAGCGACTGGGCTGAGGTGCTCGGAGCGAAGGAAAGAGCTAGGCGAAAGTAGTGGTACAACAAATTGGACAGTGGGCAAATGGCGAGCGAGTTGTCCACGCCCATGGCCAAGCGTGGCCGTAACGGCTCGCCGGGGCAAAAACGCCAAATTGGCGCCTGGCCGGCCATCATCAAGATTGTGGGTGGCTCAGGCGTTGAGAGGACAAGAGAGTGCAGGTGTAGGCGTGCGGAATTAATGAGAGTCGCCTCTCATGTCCAGGCATTGTCGCGGCGCAGCGGCGGTGGTAGGGGAACGCGAGCGAACGGGACACGGTGGGGCTCGGTCCAAACCTAGCCTGAGCGTGCTTGGCTTGACACGGTTGGCGCGACCGGCACAGCCTGCGGCCAGGCACAAGTCGACAGACATGCACACATGCGACCGGTGTGGCCCGCGCGCCGCAGTGCCATCAATGGCGTGGCGACGGCGTGCACGGCCAAGTGCGGCGGCATCAACACGGTTAGAGACGTAGCGCGATGTGCGAGAAGACGCACGACAACAGTAGCAGCCACGTTGCGACGCGAGACAATGCAGCGAGCAAAGAACGCGACGATGGGATGGACGCGCCACGCCATGGCCATGGCGGCACGGCGGCGGCGGCACCGGCCAGCGGCAGCAGACATCGTCGCGCCAGCCGACCTGCCCACGCGCCGTTCCGACCGAAGGCGACAGAAGCGCCTTGCTGGGCACCCGAGGCGACGTCGTCGCGTCCCAGAGACGCGGTGACCGCGCCCACGCGAGGAAACATGCCGAGATCGTGTTGTGCACAGTTTCTAAAGTGTTCGAAAAATCTAAACCGTTGATCCAATCCCCAAACCACCTTTGCTATGCTTAAGAGGGTATATTAGGCTACTAAAACAAGCCATAATACAACCTCACTTCTTAACCCAATTTCTCTATAAAAATTATCAAACATAGTTTTGTCAATCTATTTTCAGATTTAAGAAATCGACTAACTCTTGAGTTGAATTTGTTTCAAATTTGATTTTCTAGCTATTTGAATTGTTATCTATCGTTACTATATTGTTAAAGCAAAAGTTGCACTATCATCTACAAAATGTGTGCTTTAAACTTTATTAAGGTGTCACATATATGTTTTATAGCAGTTTTGCTTAATAAAATTGGTTTTAAAACCTAAGTGATACAACATAACTATCAAATAAACTTTTGTTTCGTATTTCTGTTGACCGTTTCGAGTTACGGAATTTGATCTACACACTTTATTACATGCATTAACACATAAACATGATGCTCATAACATGTTTTAGTAAATGATTTACATACAGCAGAGCAGTTACAGGTGAATAATACTAGGTCGAAAGATGCTGCCTGCAACAACAGAGCTACAAGAGAATGTGATGAGAAACACATTCTTGAGGTAATGGAAAAGATGCAAAAAAAGGAGGGAAAGGTTTAAAGAGGCTATTGCACCAAAAAAGAGAGGATGGTGACAAGGAAGACCTATCGGCTTTAGCATGCAGTACAGATTATATCCAGAATCAGCGGCCTGCTTGGAAACGGCAGTGGGGTGGTAATAGTTGGATGCTGGAAATGCCTTGAGAGTATGTCCGTGATGATTTCTTCAACAAGGTGTTACGCTTATGGTGCTCAAAATCTTATACTGTTGTGTTTATTTCTGATGGCTGGGTTAGGGAAACAAAATATAGAAAGCATTCACTTGAGGTACTTTTATAGTATAGTATCTTGCATAGTTTATAAGAGCAAAAAGGTTCAACCTCAAATGTAATGCTTTCAAACCACTGGGGAATGATTTACTATCCCCTAAGATAAGATTTAAATGGTTTCCTTTCTGCAGGCTGGCAAATGTTTGTGTGTTTTTGGATTCAAGAACTTATCTCTTCATACTCTGAATGCCATCAACTACAGGTTTTTTTATTATTCTGCAGCAATTGCCTCTTATCTCTTCATACTCTGAATGCCATCAACTACAGGCCATGTTCGCTTCTTTTATAATCCGTACTTATCAGCTTATTTTTCAACCGAACAGTGTTTTTCTCTCACAACAAATCAGCCGGAATAGTGTTTTGGGTTGTTTTTTCAGCGAAACGAATGGTGCCAGAATGTAGATCGTATGCTGCTGGGGCTGCCTTTTTGCATTTTTGTCTGTCTGATTGTGTCTATATGCTTCTGCCTCTGCACTGCTTCCATTGTTCCATGTCTTTTTGATCTGTTCAGCTCGCATGTATGTCAACCTTGAAGACAGTTGCGAATGGGCATGTGGTCCAGTGGTAGGTCTGTCCAGTGGGGCATTACCTACCAGGGTTCAAACCCCTTTTTCTAGATTTTTTTCAGAAATTTTAGAGCACACGCATGCGTGCGCGTTCGGTGGTACTGCGTGTTTTCCGCGCATTAGAGGCGGCGATGCCTCCCAGTCTCTTCTTTGCGTGTGGTGTGAGTGTGGAGTGTGTGGGTTACGTGCGTTCAAGTTGTATCCGATAAAAAAAAACCTTGAAGACTGTTGGCTAGATTTAGGTTCCCCTTTGAACTGGATGATTTGTGGTCTTCCTATGTAGAGTACAAACGCTTCATTAGTGACTTTAACGTATTCTTGATTCCTATGAGATTTTAATTGCAGGGCATTTTAATCCTATTATGTTTTTTCTATCCTCCTGTCTTCAGAATCATGCGTTCTAAATAGGGACCAAATCTATACAAAGAACTATAGATATTATTTGATACTAAATAAGTATTATTTAGATTTAGCATTAAATATATTTTCAAAACATACCTATTTAGAGTTGTATAAATGTTTATACTCTTTTTTTTATAAAGTAAGTTAAACTTAAAAAGTTTTACTGTGGACAAAAGTAGAATTGCATTATGTACCCGATCAAAAAAAAAGTAGAATTGCATTATTTTGTTATGAACGAATGAATTCTTTTGTTTCGGACGAATGAATTCTTTTGTTTTGGACGAATGAATACTCTACGCTATGGAAAGACTCGTGGTTATCCCGCTTGTTTTTTTAGTTGCTGGTTCGCAGTATGGTTTTATTTCTACCATATCTTCGTTCAGCCCTTGTTGTTACCTAAAGTTTACTCTCTATCGCATCGAATATTTAGACGGGGTATTAAATATAGACTAAAAATAACTAATTGCATAGGTTGCGACTAAATTGCGAGATGAATTTTTTAAGCATAATCAATCCATGATTTGACAACGTTGTGCGTACAGTAAACACGTGCTAATGATAGATTAATTAGGCTTAATAAATTCGTCTCGCGATTACTGATGACTTCTGTAATTTATTTTATTATTACTATTCAAATATTTCCGTATGATATCCTCGATGTGACACCTGATATGACATTTCTAAACTTAAACACCACCTCAGTCCCATATACAAGTTGCGGTCTGCATTTCTCGATGCCCTATCCACTGTCTGAGGGCATTTGTCCTCGCCGGAAGGCGAACACGCGAGCAGCTCCATTGCCAAAGAGAACGGGAAGAAAATGCCATGTTCTTTTTTCTTCTTCTTTTTAAATTAAAAAAAAAGAGAATTCGAAGAAAAGCTGAGACGACACGATCGTGCCCACTGCCCACGAGAGGAGTTGCCGCGTGTCAAGTCTGGAAGTTGGGACTTGTGTGAGGATGGAAAACCGCCTTCGGGAACAGAACGCCACTCGTGCAGACAGAATAACAGAAATATAGGGTGTGTTTAGTTATCCAAAATCTAAACTTTGACACTATGTAAAAAGGAAGATTCTCATCATATTAAACTTAGGGTGTTGATGAAATTAAAAACTAATTACACAGTTTAGTTGTACTTTGCGAGACGAATGTTTTGAACCTAATTAATCAACAATTGAACAATTATTATCAAATACAAACGAAATACTAGATGACACTATAGTGCCACCTAGTGATTTTGCCACCGCCGATTCTGGACAACTAAACAAGGCCATATATCGACCGACGTTCCACGTACACGCTCCCGACTCCGACACGACGTTCCACGTACACGCTCCCGACTCCGACACCGTCGACTGACAGTGGACTCGGTGCCTCGGTGGTGAATTCGAACGCCGAACCGACGTGGCGCGCTGACGACCTCCAACCGCGCCCCCATCCCGGCCTCCCGCTTCTGCCCCTCCAACCCCGGCTACGGCAATAACGGCACCGCATCCGCGAGGGCAGTCCCGTCAGTCCAGGCCCCTCGTCCTTCTCCTTCCCTCTCAACGGCGCGCCTCGCTCCACCCTCCCCACTGGCGATTTGCAACAGACAAGCTCCACTCGAGCTCGGCCCGCATCCATGGCGATGCGGCTCGTGTCCCCCTCCACGCCGCCCCCACTCTTCCCGATCCCCGGCCCGAAGGCACCCGCCTCCGTCTCCGCATCATCTTCCTCCAACTCCTCCGTCCGCTTGCGCCGCGCGCGCGCGGCGTCTGCAGCGGCTGGCGCGGCCGCGGCGGGCGGGTCCGACCGGGACGGCGGACGCTTCGAGGGGGAAGCGATGAGCGGGGCAGTCTACAGGGGCCTCGCGGAGATCGCGAGGAAGGTACCGCCCTTCGAGCCCGCAGCGGACGGGGAGCTCGCCGCCGCGGCCGGCGAGCGGCTGCTGCCTATCAATCTCGAGCTCTGGCTCTACCGCGTCAAAGTGCACACCAGGAAGTTCGAGTTCCCTGAAGCAGAGAAGCTTCTCGACAAGGTGAGCACGTAGAGAATTATAGCATAGCATTACGCGTTAGGAGTTCATACACGAGCAGAAGGTTTCTCTATCTAGCGCATCAAGGCAGCATGAAACTATTAAACGCGTGTTGTGTGCTCGTACTGAGTACTTTTGGGCAAGTTGTTGGGTTGCGAGCTGATGGATTTGATGCTCTGTTTCTGAAATATGAACAATGTATCTCATTCTGGCCGGAAGACGGACGTCCGTATGTGGCATTGGGGAAGCTGTACAGCAAGCAGTCAAGGTATGACAAAGCTAGAGCGGTGTACGAAAGGGGATGCCAAGCAACGCAAGGCGAAAACCCATACATTTGGCAGGTTTGCACATGATCAGTTCATATGCTCCATTTTATAAAGTTCCTATATGCAAGATGTTTTTTTCCTCAAACAAGTAGGAGAGGGAAAAGTCTATTGATGTTAGTCTACTTTACCTCCATTGTCCGGATTCGTGGCTCCGCATCAAGAGCATGCGTACGAGTAGTCGTTGGAACTCTGCCAGCCGGCCGAATAAAAATGATTAATCCAATTGAGCTGTGAAATCATCGAAGCATCAACTGCAAGTTCATGGATGTGCAGCAGGAGAGCTCGAAGTTGGATCTATGGCTGTCAATCGGAGTTGGGGCACTCAGAAGAAGATGGGATGGAGAAAACCCACCGTGTGCCAAACGGTAGACTTTTCACAGCTTCTCATTTGACAAAAGCTAGCTTATCATAAAAGCTTCCTTATCAAATAAGCCCATCAAAGATAAGTAGCTTCAAACAGGGCCTATATAAACCCAAAACTATTGATGTTAGTCTATTTTACCCCTAACCTACAAAACCAGGTATTCTACCTCTTTTACCTATCCAAAATCGTTTAATCTAACCCATAGGTGGTTTCAAGTGCTCATTTTGCCTCGCCGGCACGACTCGAGCCCGCGGTCATGTTTCGAGTGGTCGTTTTGCCTCGCTGGCACGACTAGAGCCCACATGACAGCGACCATTGTTGCATGGGCCCACTTGTCAGCGTCTCCTTCAACCTCCGGTCTTTGTGCGCCTTGAGGTTATCCAAGGGCGTGCTGTCGCTGCCGTTGCCTTGGGCTAATCACGACGTGCTTTACCATCGTCACCTACTGCCTTCAAGCCGAGTCGTGCCATGTCACTGCATCCACACATGACCGTTGCCACACAACGAGTACTTATGAGTCCACGAAGGACCAAGTGCCTCTGACCATTAGCAAGCGTCGGCCATGCCCTGTTCGTTTCGCTGAAATTTGGCTTATGCTGATGCTTATGCTGAAATATTGTGAGAGGAAAACACTGTTCGTTTGCTGAAAAGTATTGCTGAAGTAGTGCTGCAGTGCTTATGCTGAAATATTGTGAGAGGAAAACACTGTTCGTTCGCTGAAAAGTACTGCTGAAGTAGTGCTGCAGAATAGGGTGATTACGGTCTTGGTCGTTTTACATGTATACCCTCGTGGAATAGTGTAATAATTAGGGGTTTCATGTCTCTTGGTGTTTTTATGAATAACCTCCTAAAACCCTTAAACTTTTTCCTACAGGAGCATGGCATATCATTATATTAAGAAGAAGAAAAGGAGTCTAGCACCCCCACACAAAACACACACCCAAAAACAAGAAACAAGAAGGATAAACACATGCATCTGGTATTACAAAAGAAACAAGATCCGAACAACTAACTAAACTTATTGGGGCGGAAGGGAGAGGAGATAAGAAACACCTTGCACCCTAGCTAGGCTCCAAAGCCTCATCTCCTCCATAGGAAGCTATACAACACCATCTAGGTAGGGAGAAGCACCATCGAAGACACAATGGTTGCAATGAGTCCCCCACACCCCCAAAATAATGAGTGAATTTAAACCTTTACAAACCTGGCCATCGACCCTGTCATCGATTTTGAGTCCACATTCCTCAAAGGATGTAGAACATGAGGATGTTAACACCTTATGTCTGGTTTGGGAAACTCTGCAACTATAATTTTGTTAAATTTGAAGGCACGTGAGTTAGCATTATCCTAATTGTATGATCATGTTGTTTTGCATTTGATTCAACAACTGGCAGTTTGGGCATTTGGGCTTCAGTTCAGTAATTGTATTCCTTGCATGCCAGTTGCTTGTCTGCTTTTCTTGCAAATAGATGGAGAGCATAGCCTGTTACATGATACATCACACACTATTTTGTTTGTAGAAACAACGGTGGGTCTCCCAGTTGTAGCTATCCTGTAAAGTTTTCAAGATTAGAAGGGACTGAAACCTCATATCAGGATCATTTTGTTAACTTTTACTGACACATCCGAAAACTAATCACTTGGACCATCTAAAGAAATCATTTGATCCTTATGACTGAATTATATACAAGATGCTGAAATCACTATCCAGACTGGTGAGGTCAGGGCAATTTGTGCCTTTACAACCATAACTATTTCTGTTCCATGCATGATGCATCTATAATTCACTCATTTAAGGATAAATCCAACAAAGCATGTGACCGTATATGAATTTGTTGTTTTCTTTGCTAAGCAGTGCTGGGCAGTCCTAGAAAGCAAGAGTGGAAATATTCGAAGGGCATGCGAGCTATTTGATGCTTCTACTGTGGCTGATGCAAAGCACATTGCTGCTTGGCACGGGTGGGCAATTTTAGAAATAAAGCAAGGAAATATAAAAAAGGCGCGGAACCTACTTGGGAAAGCCCTGAAATATTGTGGAGGAAATGAGTATATTTACCAAACTCTTGCTTTGCTTGAAGCTAAAGCAGAGCGCTTTGAACAAGCACGGACTTTGTTCGAGCAAGCCACTCAATCCAATCCGAAAAGTTGTGCAAGCTGGCTAGTAAGTATTTGCTTCATAATTATTCATTTTCTCTGCACGAAAGGAAACTGCATAGTTGCCTTTTCTATTAAACTGTGCATTTATGTATGACAACTTTCTAGTAGGCTTGGGCTCAGGTAGAAATGCGTGCAGGAAACAAAGCCATGGCCAGAAAGCTCTTTGAGATAATAAATCGTATTCCCTTTCTAGGTTAACTATTGCCGTCATTAATGATTTTGTAAATTCCAAAATATATCTGAGCGTCTCCTCATGTTCATGAGTCAGTTGAAGTGTAGAAATGGCATTACTATGGGCTCAGTCTTTCTTTGTCTAAATTTTTCATAGAAGATCTGTCTTCGTTTGTTCAAGTTATATTGCACGTTGTTTTGACATTCTATATTAACATGTGAATATGATGGTTTGTCACATATATGACATCCCTCTAAAATTTTCCAATGTGTGGTGTATAACTTCGCATCTGAGTCGACGGGTGCGAAGGATAAGGAAGCTAGTCGAACCAACTAGAATCCGTTTAGATAGTTGGAATGTAGGGTCACTTACAGATAAGTTAAGAGAATTAGTTGATACCGCGACTAGGAGGCGTGTAAATATATTATGCGTTCAAGAGACTAAATGGAAGGGTCAGAAGGCGAAGGAGGTGGACAATACAGGTTTCAAGCTTTGGTACACAGGGACAGTCGCGAATAGAAATGGAGTAGGAGTTTTGATTGATAAGAGCATCAAGAATGGTGTGGTGGGAGTGAGAAGGCAAGAAGATAGGATTATCTTAGTCAAGCTTGTCGTTGGTGATATGGTCTTGAACGTAATTAGTGCGTATGCCCCCAAGTAGGCCTCGACGAGAGTGCTAAGAGACAGTTCTGAGAAGACTTAGATGGCCTGGTTAGAGCTATACATAGTAGTGAGAAGCTTTTTATAGGAGGAGATCTTAATGGGCATGTAGGTACTACAAGCGCGGGTTTCGAGGCAGTTCATGGAGGTTTTGGGTATGGTAGTAGGAATTAGGAGGGGGAGGGAGTTCTGAACTTCGCGGTAGCTTTTGACCTGATGATAGCCAACACTTTTTTTAGAAAGAGAGAATCTCATCTAGTGACCTTCAGTAGCGGACAACACTGTAGCGAGATTGACTTTGTCCTCGCAAGAAGAAAGGACAAACGAGCATGCTTGGATTGCAAGGTGATACCAGGGGAGTGTGTTGTTTCTCAACATAAGCTTTTGGTGGCAGATTTTCGTTTTCAGGTGCGTGCCCGTAGGGATAAACAAGCTAAGATTGAAAGAACAAAGTGGTGGAAACTGAAAGGGGAGACGTCAGAGATATTCAGGGAAAGGGTTATCAAAGAGGGCTCTTGAAAGGAAGAAGACGACATAAACAACATGTGGGAGAAGATGGCAACCAACATTCGCAAGGTGGCCTCAGAGGTGTGTGGAGTAACCAAAGAAAAGTGGAGGCGAGGCTAAAGATACTTGGTGGTGGAACGAGGAAGTCCAAAGGGCTATTAAGGAGAAGAAAGAATGCTATAGACGCTTGTACCATGACAGGAGTGTGGACAACATAGAGAAGTATAAGGTGGCAAAGAAGACTGCGAAGCGAGCTGTAAGTGTGGCAAAGGGTAGAGCGTACGAGAATCTTTACCAACATTTGAGTATGAAGGAAGGAGAGAAGGACATTTATAGGATGGCTAGGGTTCGTGAGAGAAAAACATGGGACTTCAACCAAGTTAAGTGCATTAAGGATGAAAGGGAGAATCTCTTGGTGAAGGAGGATGAGATCCGACATCGATGGCAAGAATATTTTGACAAATTGTTCAATGGTTAGAATATGGACACAACCTTTTAGTTGGATGACTCTTTTGATGACACCAATAGGTGCTTTGTGCGGAGAATCCAAGAATCTGAGGTCAGAGGGGCGTTGAAAAGGATGAAAGGAGGTAAGACGATGGGACCGGATGGTATCCCAATCGAGGTGTGGAGATGCCTCGGGGACATAGCTATAGTATGGCTAACTAAGCTGTTCAACCATATTTTTCGATTGAACAAGATGTCTGATGAGTGAGGAGAAGTATATTGGTACCGATCTACAAGAATAAAGGGGATATTCAAAGTTGTACTAATTACCGGGAAATTAAGTTGATGAGCCATACTATGAAGCTATGGGAGAGAGTTATCGAGCATCGCTTGAGAGCAATAACGCGGGTCTCTATGAACCAATTTGGTTTCATTCCCGGAAGGTCAACCATGGAAGCTATTTTCTTAATAAGACAAGTTATGGAGCGGTACAGGGAGAAGAAGAAGGACCTACACATGGTTTTTATTGACTTGAAGAAGGCTTATGATAAAATATCAAGGAATGTTATGTGGTGGGCTTTGGACAAACATAAAGTCCCAACGAAGTACGTCGGGCTCATTAAGGACATGTACAACAATGTTGTGACTAGAGTTCGAACAAGTGATGGAGACACGGAGGACTTCCCGATTAGTATATGACTACATCAAGGGTCAGCTTTGAGCCCTTATTTGTTTGCTTTAGTGATGGATGAGGTCACAAGGGACATACAAGGAGACATCCCTTGGTGTATGCTTTTCGCGGACGATGTAGTGCTAATTGATGAAAGCCGGAGAGGAGTGAATCAGAAACTGGAGTTATGGCGGGAGACTTTGGAGTCCAAAGATTTTAGACTAAGTAGAACTAAAACTGAGTATATGAGATGTGACTTCGGCACTACTACTCGGGAGGAGGAAGATGTTAGTTTGGAAGGTCACTGCCTAGGAAGGATACCTTTCGATATTTAGGATCAATACTACAGAGGGACGGGGATATTGATGAAGATGTTAGCCATAGAATCAAAGCAGGGTAGATGAAGTGGCGGCAAGCGTCTGGTATCCTATATGACAAAAGGGTACCACAGTAGCTAAAAGGCAAGTTTTATAGGACGACGATTAGACCTGCTATGTTGTATGGTGCAGAATGTTGGCCTATGAAAAGATGACATGTTCAACAGCTAAGTGTCGCGGAAATGCGTATGTTGCGTTGGATTTGCGGTCATACAAGAAGGGATCGAGTTCAAAACGATGATATACGTGATAGATTAGGGGTAGCGCCAATTAAAGAAAAGCTTGTCCAACACCGGTTGAGATGGTTTGGACATGTGCAACGGAGACCGCCAGAGGCACCGGTGCGTAGTGGAATCCTTAGCCAGGAGAGTAACGTGAAGAGAGACAGATGAAGACCGAAGTTGGCTTGGGTAGAGGCAATAAAAGGAGACTTGAAAGGATGGAATATACCCAAAGACTTAGCCTTAGATATTAGTGCTTGGAAGACAGCTATTCACGTGCCGGAACCTTGATTGCTTCTGATGGGTTTCAACTCTAGCCTACTCCAACTTGTTTGGGACTTAAAAGCTTTGTTGTTGTTGTGGTGGTGGTGGTGGTGTATAACTTCAAATTTTCTAGTGCAGAAGGCTGTCCAGGCTAGTCCTAAAAACCATTTCTCATGGCATGTTTGGGCGCTATTTGAGGCAAATGAAGGTAGTATTGACAGGGCAAGGAAGTTGCTTAAGATTGGACATGCTGTAAATCCTAGGGACCCTGTAATTCTCCAGTCACTTGCACTGCTGGAATACAACTTTTCATCTGCGAATGTTGCTCGTGTGTTATTCAGAAAAGCATCTCAGATTGATCCAAGGCATCAGCCAGTTTGGATAGTAAGAACTTTCTGCACTTGCCTCCCTTATCTGACTACAAATTCCATGTAGTTTCCTTTACAAAAAACTGTTTGAGATTCTTTTTTCTTTATTCCCTACAGGATGTTCTGCATGGATATACAATTACTTTCAGTATGATGTTGTTTCTTGCACTTCTTACCACTAGAGGATAGAGGTTTCTTTTTGGGAGAAACTTCTTAGCATTAGAACTTATAAGTGTTGTGGTTGTCTACCTTCCCAGTGCAAATGACTGCATATATGCAATCCAATGATTCGGGGAGTGATTAGGTCCAGTGAATGGTGAATTCACAATATTTTTTTTTTGTTGCTGAAACTTTGGATTTATATTCACGTAAGATCCCCAGCAATAAACTGTGAGTAAATTTCTTTCAGTAGAAAGCCTTAGATCGTCAGCTAACTGCACCTGATATACACAAGTAAAAGCTTTGTGTTTTCTAAAACTGTTAGAAACAGTTTTCTATTGTTTCAAGTACATATGCATTGTCATATTTGTGTCTAATTGTATATGCACTACTGCTGATTTATGTCTCTCTGAAACTCAGCAATGACCCATAGATTATATTGTAGGCTTGGGGGTGGATGGAATGGAAAGAAGGAAATGCAAGAACAGCAAGGGCCCTCTATCAAAGAGCTTTGTCAGTTAATTCAACAAATGGATGTGCTGCTTGTTAGACTCGTCGGCAGCGAACGGCTGGACTCAGGGAAGAATTTTGATAGAAGTGCTTGTTCACTACTAGGAAAATAATACAGCAGCTGATTTCATGATCCCCCTCTTCCTCTCACTGCCGAACTGATATACTCGCTTCGACTCTCTCTTCTCAGCATCGAACCTCAGTGGGCCGACGAGGTGGACCTCACGCCGACTCGGGCTTCTCGTTACAAGACACGCAGGCCCATTCCGGCCCAGACAATTTGATGTTGCTGACTCTCTTCATCTTGGGCCTTGGTGCTGCCGACGGGTCCCCAGGGCGAGGTTTGCTGACATCCCTCCCCCCTTGAGTGCCGGCATGTCCCCATGCCGGAGCACCAGGGAAGTGCTGCATGATGGCGTCGGCGTCCTCCCAGGTAGCAAGGTCGTCGTCGAGGCCGGACCACTTGATCAACAATTGCTTGACGGAGTGGGTACCACGTTGATGAAGTCTGGACTGCAAAGACGCGCTCGGGGGACTTGCATGTTGTTGTCGAGGTCGGGAGCTGGCGGAGATCGCTTGGAACAATGGACGACGCCGCTTCAACATCGAGACGTGGAACACCGGGTGGATTGAAGACGTCGGTGGAAGCTCCAGCTTATGCGCCCATCGCTCCGATCTTGGACAAGACTTTGAAGGGACCGAAGTATTTGAAGCACACTTGTGGTGGGAGCGCAGCGCTAACGACGGATCCCCAAGCGTAAAAGGCTGCGCAGACGGAGGTAGACGCGAAGTCGCCACTGAAACGAACGCCCGAGCGCTTCTTGTCCGCTGGTGCTTCATGCGCCGCTTAGGCTCGAAGGAGATCTTGACGTCTGAGGGCCAAGATGGTGGTGTGCTCCGCCAAACATGGAGGCGACGTCCGGCACAGGGGAAGCAGCAAGTTCAGTAATACCAAAATGACGAGGAGATCGACCGAACAGTACCTCAAATGGCGACTTCCCCAAAGCTGAGTGTGAACTGGTATTGTACCAGTATTCGGCAAGTGGCAGCCACTTCAACCACTGTCTTGGACATGAATGAACAAAACACCTCATGTATGTTTCGAGACATTGATTGATACGTTCGGTCTGACCGTCAGACTGAGGATGGTAGGCTGAGCTCATAGCCAAAGTCACTTGGGCAAGACAAAAGAGCTCGCGCCAAAACTGGCTGGTAAAGATGGGATCACGATCTGAGATGATATGAGTAGGCAAGCCATGAATTTTGAAGATGTTGTCGAGGAAGGCTTGTGCTACTCTTTGGGCTGTATAAGGATGATGCAATGGAATGAAATGTGTGAATTTACTTAGCTTATCCACGACCACCATGATGCAGTTGGCGTGTCCAGAAGGTGGTAAGCCATCGATGAAGTCCATGGAAACCATTTGCTAGGCTTCTGCAGGAATTGGAAGAGGCGAGAGGAGACCCGAGTAGCGGACTCTATCTGGTTTGGCCTGGTGGCAAACTGAGCAAGCAGCAACAAAAGCTTTGATGGTCTGCTTCATACCGCGCCAGCAAAATAGCTTCTTAATGCAGCTGTAAGTGACTGGAAACCCGGAATGACCTCCCAGTGCGCTGTCATGAAGGGTTGAGATAATGTTTTGCTGCAGTTGATGGTTGTTGCCAACCCAGATGCGGCCTGAGTAGCGAATGACTCCATGATGCAAGGTGAATGGTGGATGGCTGTGAGAGTTGACCGACAGCTCCTGGAGCAACTTGGAAGATTCAGGGTCAGATGCATAACATGTGGTAACATCTGCAAGCCAAGCCGGAGTGGAAATGGATATAGCTTGGAGTTGGGATGGCGGGTTGGGATGACGAGACAGGGCATCGGCTGCAGAATTGGATGTGCCGGGCTTGTAAACTACCCTGTACTGAAGACCGACCAGTTTGGTGTGCATCTTGAGCTGCCAGTGAGTCTACAGGCGCTGATCAGTGATGTGCATGAGGCTGCGTTGGTTGGTAAAGATCATAAATTCGCTATGCTGGAGATATGAACACCACTGCTCGACTGCCACTAGGATTGCCAGGAACTCCTTTTCATAAGTAGACAGAGCTCTAGTTCGGGGGCCAAGTGCTTTGCTAACAAATGCAAGTGGGTGGCCATTTTGTAACAGGACTGCTCCAACTCCTAAGTCGCTGGCATCAATCTGCAGCTGAAATGGCTTACTAAAGTCCGGCAGGGCGAGCACCGGGGCTGAAACAAGGGCAGACTTCAAAGCATCCATAGCAGCTTGGTGAGATGGAGTCCAAATGAATATAGATCCCTTCTTAAGAAGATCAGTCAGAGGTCTGGCCAATGTAGCAAAGTGCTTCACAAACTTACGGTAGTAGCCGGCTAACCCCAAGAAGCTGCGGAGCTCTTTGATATTCTGTGGTGGAGGCCATTGCTGGATAGACTCGATCTTGTTGGGGTCTGTAGACACACCATTATGGCTGACAATGTGTCCAAGGTATGAAATGGACTGCTGGGCAAAACGACATTTGGAGATCTTAACTTTCCACTGGTCTCTTGCTAACAGGGTAAAAACCTGGCGAAGGTGCTGAATGTGGTCTTCGAGAGTACGGCTGTACACAAGAATGTCATCGAAGAAAACCAGAGCACACTTACGCAACAAAGGGTAGAGAGTGGTGTTCATGGCGCCTTGGAAGGTATTTTGTGCGTCGGTCAATCCGAAGGCCATGACAGTAAACTCAAATTGACCCCAATGTGTTTGGAATGTTGTTTTATGTTCTTCACCGGGTGCCAGATGAATCTAATTAAAGCCAGCCCAGAGATCCAAGCAAGAAAACCAGCGGGTGTGGGCCAACTCATCCAACAGCTCATCCACCACTAGAATAGGAAATTTACTCTTCACAGTCAAGGCGTTGAGCATCCATGAGTCAACACAGAACCGCCACGTACCATCTTTCTTGCGGACCAAGAGCACCGGGGAAGAGAAAGCACCCGAGCTTGGCATCCATGCCCGGCTCGCGACATCTCGGAAACTTGTTTTCAATCTCATCCTTGAGCGCCCGGCTTATAATTGATCTTGACGGAGAGCCACTGGGGGATTACCGGGAACCAAGGGAATATGATGGTCGCATTGATGGCGAGGTGGCAGTTCAGATGGTTCTTGGAACAGCTCAGAAAATTCTTTAATGAGATGTTGGATGGCTGGAGGAAGCTCAGGAGGGCGAGGAGAAGGTGCGAAGCGAAGAATGTGACAAAGTTGCATGATAGAATGTTGATCTGAATCCGAAGCAAAGCCTGAAGGACAACATGGTGCCGGCCATAAGGAATGCTCATCCACTTGTGTTGCCAATCAACCCTCATAGGCGAGAAGGCCTCTAACCAATCCATACCGACAATCATGTCATAAGAGCCCAACTGCAGGATGCACAGAGTAGAGTGGAAAGTGTAGCCTTGAACTGACCATTCAAATAGCAATGACTTTCAATGAAAGGTAGAATAGAGCCCCATCGACCACTCTTACATCATTGGTTTAGGAAGAGGCCTCGATTTGGTAGACTGGTGTTGCAAAGCGAACTCAAGAAGGAATGGTTGCTTCCTAATCCACCAAAATGACGATGTCACGCGCCCAAGAATGATCCTTTGAATTGCATTGTTCTAGGAGCAAAGCAGAACCGAGGCCGCAGCAGAGGATAACATCATGAAAGCTTTGAACATCGGTGGGTGATCAACATCTTGGATAGGACTATCGGCTGACTTCTGGAATGCCTCGAAGCACGTGTCCTAGACTTCTTGAAGAGCATGAACTTGTGGAATCGGGCGCACACCGATGGCCTAGAGCCCACTTGTCGCCGCAGCGAACACAGAGTCCATGTGCTCGCCGGTAATTTCATGATGTGGACGACTTGTCGTCGATGGAAGTAGACTTGGTTGGAACTCGCTTCTCGAGAACTGGATCGAGCATGACTTGGGGGCGCCGGGGTGGAAGAGGCAAGGAAGAGCACCCTTGATTGTTGCCATGCGAAGCGAACGGGGGCGCTTCCGAGCACTTGAATTCCTGCGGATACCTTGATCCAAATACCTCTTCCCGTAACAAGGCGAGAGTACAAGCATGTGAGGAGGTTTTGGGGTCGAGCAACCATAACAACAGAGCGAATGTCTTCGCGTAAACCATCAACGGGCGAGTAGTAAAGTAGAGTTTATCGTGGTTAGGATTATAGGCTTTGAGCTGTTCAAAAAGATCGGTGAACTTTTCGATATAATCGTAAACGGTTGAAGTGTGTTTAATGTGGAAAAGTCATGTAAGAGCGGCTCATGCCGATCACGGCTAAATCTCTCATGGATGAGGTTAGAGAATGACTCCTCGGATATGTTCTCAACTTGCACTGACTCGATGGCCCGGAAGCCGAGACATGCGGCATGGGTGAAATGGTGAGTGGCCACGAACCCGGATCATTGGATGAACCGAGTACATTTCAAATGGGAACGAGCATGGGACACCCACACTTAGGATTATCCCCATCGAATT